GACCGGCGGGGCGGGGCGGGCGGCGGGCTGGCGCTGCGGCGCGTGTCGGTCCCCCCGGCCTTCTCGCGCCGCCTGGCGGGCCTCTCGGGCTCCTCATCTCTTGGCCTCGCTCCCGTTTGCGTCTCCATCTCGCTCTGCCCATTCGCATCCCTCTCGTCTTCGAGGCCCTCGGTCTCCTTTGCCCTGAGCCTCTGCGCCGCTCACTACCTCCACCACTACCTCGACCTCTCCAGCACCTTCCTCCTCTGCCCTTGACCTTGTTGACACTAAGGACAACAGCCAGGGACCAGGCGGCCGATGGCGCTCCCCCACCCCACCTGCTCTCCAGGTCCCTGAAGTTGGGGGAGGCTGTGCGAAGGGGTTCCAGGGAGGAGGGGAGGAGGGGAGGGGAGAACCGACACGTGCTGACCCAGAACTTGGCTCCTCCCAGCCGCAGACAGGCCGGGGATGGCCGGCTGGTCCATCCCCTCTCTTACCTGTCTCCACCTCTCCTTGCCCTACAACTTCTAGGCGTCATCTTTTAACCTGGTGGAGAGCTCTGTGCCTGGACCAGGACCCTCCGCGCCCTGATTCTGTCCCCTGCACGCCTGGCGTGTTTATTTCCCATCACCTACCCCAGCCGATCCGTGAGAAAGCTGAGGTTTAGAGAAGGTACGTGACTCGTCCAACGTCACAGGGAAAGAAGGGGAGGATTTGAGCCCAGAGCCCAGGCAGTCCAGCGGTGGAGCCCGCTCCCCCCTGCTCTGGCTCCCTCTTCCTTGGTTCCTCGGCTGCCACTCTCTGCCCCCTTGACTCAAAGATGCCAGGTGCTCTGCCCTGGCTGGTCTGGCTCAGTTGGCTGAGTGTCGTCCCGTGCACCCAAAGATCACACCAAGCGGTAGCCGGTTCAATTCTGGGTCGGGGCTCGTGCCCCGGTTTCAGTACGGCCCCAGGTCAGGGTGCGTACTTGGGTATGGGGAAGGAAACCAATCTAGTTTCTCTCTCCCATCAATGTTTGTTTGTTCTCCCCCCCCCCTTTAAAATCAATAAAAAACATATTAAAAAGAAAAAAGATGCCAGGTTCACTCTTGCCTCTGTGTCACAGCCCAGGCTGTTTCTGGAACTCCTTCCCCTTCTCTCTGTGCAGCTAATTCCTGCTTATTCTCTAGGTCTGCCCTTGGCTGTCCCTTTCTTTTGGAAGTTTCTCACCTCCGCATCAAAGCCCAGATATCCCTGGGCTTTCCCCATGTGGACAAAAAGGGGCCACACGCTAACCTGACAGGCTCTGGGAAGGCCTGCGTGGCGGCCTTGCAAACTCAGAGACCTACAGTTACCACAAAGGGTGGTCTGAAATTAAAACGTTTTTAAATTAAAAAGCAGTCTATGGCCCTGGCTGGTTTGGTTCAGTGGATAGAGCATTGGCCTGCAGACTGAAGGGTCCCGGGTTTGATTCCGGTCAGGGCCAGAAAATCATTTTTAAAAATATATATATTTTTATTGATTTCAGAGAGGAAGGGAGAGATAGAAATATCAATGATGAGAGAGAATCACTGATTGACTGCCTCCTGCACGCCCCCCACTGGGGATCGAGCCCACAACCCCGGCATGTGCCCTTGACTGGAATAGAACCTGTGACCCTTCAGTCTGCAGGCTCTATCCACTAAGCCAAACCATCTAGGGCCAGAAAATAATTTAAAAAAAAAAAACCACTTAGTTGCCCTAACCGGCTTGGCTCAGTGGATAGAGCGTCGGCCTGCGGACTGAAGGGTCCCGGGTTCGATTCCGGTCAAGGGCATGTACCTTGGTTGCAGGCACATACCCAGTAGGGGGTGTGCAGGAGGCAGCTGATCAATGTTTCTCTCTCACTGATGTTTCTAACTCCCTATCCCTCTCCCTTCCTCTCTGTAAAAAATCAATAAAATATATTAAAAAAAAAACACCAAAAAACTTAGTTGTACCCAGCTCTTCACAGTTTTCTTCCAAGCCCCCCTAAAGCCCTGTGAGGCAGGAATTGCATCCTCGTTTTTACAGAGGGGTAAACTGAATAACTCCAGAGCGCTGAAGTGGTAGAACTCTGATTCCAAACCCAGTGTCTATTACAAGGCACAATTACCGGAGCCAAACACGTGGGCTCACTCGGCCACAGCTTCCTTCACTAAAGCCCCTTCCACACCCGATTGCTTTTCTTTAGTCCCTTTAAGAGCTGCCCCGCCTCACTCAACCAGTCTCCGTGTCAATCTAAGCCCTCTGGCCAATCAGAGGATAGAAAAGATCACTTTCGTGCCTCAACCGCACTTAGAGGGCGGGGCAGAGGGAGACACACCCCTTTGACCAGGAGCCCGAGCGGCGCGGAATGGTTCAGAGACGTTCATTGGCCAAAGAGCGGCCTTGGCCCTGCGTAAGGCCACGCCCCCCGGCGGCTGAGAGGTTGGTTGCGCGGCCGCCGGGGAAGGAGACGCTGCCCTTTCGCAGCGATGGGATCCCGGGTGAGTGGCGGCCGGGGCTGAGCTCGCCGGGCGGTCGGGCCGCGCGGCAGGGCCCGGGACGGAGGCTTGCAGCAGGCGGGAGCCGGGCCGGCGCGGGGCCCTGGGTAGGGGCGCAGGTGTCCGGGCTCAGCCGGACTAGAAGGGCCCGGGTTGGAAGGAGCAGGTCCCTGGCCGTGGGCGGCGCGAGAGGTGGAACGGAAGGTGCCCGGTCAGGGAGGCGATGCTCGGGCCTGGAACGTGGTGGGCGTCGGAGCGGGGCTGGGAAAGTCCCCGGGATGGAAGGAGCGGGGCGCCGGCCGAGGCGGCGACTGCGGGCACCTGCCGGCCCCTCAGATACCCCGAGGTTCGGGGCGAGAGGGGCGGGGCCGACGGTGCTCCGGGAGGGGAGGTGTCGGGATGGAACGAGCAGGTTCTGGAGACGGGATGTTGCTGAGGTCAGTGTGGTGGTGCCCAGTGCCCTGCCCGGTCGTGCCGGTGGGGTGTCCGGGGTGGAATGGACTGAGTGAGTGAGACGGGGCCGAGGGTGGTTCGCGGGAGCGCCTGGGTCAGGGTCGCTGCTGAGGTCAAGGCCGAAGGGGAGACTGCGAAGGCCAGAGCCATTCAGGGGAGCGTCCGGGGCAGCGGTTCTCAACCTGTGGGTCGCGACCCCTTTGGCGGTCGAACGACCCTTTCACAGGGGTCGCCTAAGACCATCCTGCATATCAGATATTTACATTACGATTCATAACAGTAGCAACGTGACAGTTATGAAGTAGCAACGAAAATAATTTTATGGTTGGGTCCCAACATGAGGAACTGTATTTAAAGGGCCAGAAGGTGGAGAACCACTGGTCCGGGGCGAGGGGGTGGGAAGTGTGGGCATCAGGCGGAGGGTGTTGTAAGCGCTGGGGGAGGATGGGATGAGCAGGTGACTGCCCAGGTGGGGACATGGCCACGGGCTTGTCCTCATGGAGGCTTCTCCTCGGGTGGAGCCGGGGGCCGGAGAGAGCACGGCCCAGCTGGCTCTGGATCCGTCCTGGGCGGGAGGCAGGCCCAGGGGCTGCTGGGGACTTCCCTGCCGACACTTGCCAGGCCTCTCAGCCCGGACTCCCTCCCGGGGGTGGGGCCAGGCTCAGCCTTATTTCTGCACGTGGGCTTCTTTCTTGGGACCCAGAAGCCCTTCGGGTGCGGCGTGGAGAGGTGGCAGTTGTAGCCTTGGGATCCCCCAGAGCTGAGGTCACATCCCTGGTTGGCCATTGACTCAGGGACTTCAGTCAGGCCGCTCACTTCTCGGAGCCTCGGTTTCCCCGTTGTGCACAGGGGTCGGGAGAGTTCTGTGAGGGACGAGACCCCAAGCCCTCCGTGGAGAGCCTGTCCGAGCCCGGCCTGTCGTCAGTGCTGGGGAGTAGCCGCTGAAGGGGGTGAGAGAGGCGGCTGATAGAGCCCCGGCCCTGACCACCGGCAGTCATGTCGCTGGATTTGCAGCCTCCGGGCAGGAGGGCTCCTACCCTGGGCACGACGGCTTCCTCAGCCCCAGAACGTTCCCGGCAGCCCCCTCACACGCAGCCCAGCCCCAGAGCTGGGCTGACCGCGCTGTCCTCCCTTCCCACTCGCTGGGGAGAAGCTGTTTCTCGTGCTGGTCCAGTGACTTTGGCCACCATCCCAAGGAGACAGGGTCTGTGCTGGCCTGCACGTTCCTTCTGCTTGAGCTCCCAGGAGACCTCGAAGGCATCCTGGGCCTCGGGGGGGTGTGTGAGGAACACCCTGCAGGGCCTTGGGGACTGGGCTCTCTGTGGCTAAGCCACTGATTCGCTGCCTTGGAATGGGCGGTGGGGTACCCTGGGAGGGTCCCCGAAGACCTCAGGGGAAAGTTGCCCTTGTAGTCTGTCGTCTTCTGGGGCTTGCCACTTCCTGCTCCACGTCCAGCTCAGCACAGCCTGACGTCCGAGAGACCCTGGTCCAGGTTCTGCCGCTGCCTCACCCCAGCTGTGTGTAACGTGGGCTCCTGGCAGCCTCCGTGGGCCTCAGTGTCCTCGTTGGAAGTTGGCACGGTTAGGAGCACAGGTAGAGAGGGTCTATTTACAGAATTGTCATCATTCAGTGAAATAATACACACGAAGAACTCAGCACAAAATATGCACAGAGGTGTAAAGGCTGTCATCATTATTGGAGGAAGTAGCCTGCTGTTTTCATACTATAGTCCACAGGAAGTAAAACATTCTTGGCTTTGTGGGAGGTGAATATAGTCCACTGGAAGTAAAACATTCTTGGCTTTGAGGCCTGAGGTTTTTGTTCAGCAAAAAAGGCCATGACGTTTGAGAGTGACCTCTCCAACTCCCGTCCCTGGGTCTGCTCTTGGGCAGAGACACTGCCTTCTGCTCCCAGGGCGCATGGTGGGCAGAGGGTCTGGGGGCACTTGGCTGCCTTCCTGCCCGGGCCTGGCATTCCCGATGGAGGCTTTGCTCCTGCCTCACCCCCCAGGGCACCCTTGTGTGCATTTCTCTGTGCTCCTGTCCTGCGTCTGACTTGGTGGTCTGTCTCTCAGCTCCGTGGAGGGACCCTCTGGTATGCACATTCCTGTCTTTCCGGGCGGTGGATGGCTCCTGGGACCCAGCCAGCAACCAGTTGAAGACGTTCTCCTTGGAAACACTCCACCCAAGGGCTCTGGCCTGGTGTGTTGGCCCTGCCATGGCGTTCCGGAGGACTGAGGGCATGTCCATGATCCAGGCCCTGGCCATGACGGTGGCCGAGATCCCTGTGTTCCTGTACACGACGTTTGGACAGGTAAAGAGTGGGTGGCCCATGGTCCTGCCCTCTAACCACTCTGGTCCCCGAAACACTGAGCGTCAGGACAGCCGGGCCCTCAGTATTGCTGTTCAGGCGCCCAGTGTCTCCTGTTTGAGCAGAGCAGGAAGGACGGGGTTAGGAGTCTAGGGCCCCTGGCCTGGCCTTTACCTGCCCTCCTCAAATGTCTGTGCTGACCAGGCCTCTTGACACTCTCTGAGGCTCTGCCCCGGGGGATACAGCGCCACCGGAGGGGCTCCCAGTCCAGCAGGCAGAGTGAGGGTGGAGTAGGGATGCAGATGGGGCAGTGGGTGGAGTGAATGTCATCATCTCCGAGAAGTCATTGAGGAATGGAGCTGGCAGACCTGGGTTCCATTTCTGTCTCTGTCACCTTGAGCATGGGTCTTAACAACCAGTGTGAGCCTCAGATTCCTCACCTGAAGGAGGACAGGCATTCAGACAGGAAACGCGGGTAAAGTCCTGGTGCAGTGCCTGACGGAGCTGTTAGTCATGACCTGCTGGACCCCAGGTTGCCCTTGGCATCATCATTTTGCCATCCCCAGCCCTCTCTTTACACCTCTGGGGTCCACATTTTAGAGCGGCTGCCAGGTCCCCTCTCTTGAGGTGGCTGTCTCCCCATTGCACCTGGTCCACAAATATCCCCAGGGGCCTGGTACGTTCCCTGTTCCTTTGTGCTCCCCGGAGCGCCTCTCCAGGGGAGATGTAACCGGCTGTCTCCCTCTTGTCCTGCAGTCTGCATTCTCGCAGCTGCGGCTGACACCAGGCCTGCGGAAGGTCCTGTTTGCCACAGCCCTGGGGACCGTGGCCTTGGCCCTGGCCGCCCACCAGCTGAAGAGGCGAAGGCGGAAGAAGAAGCAGGTCGGCCCTGAGATGGGAGGCGAGCATCTGGGCACGGTGCCCCTCCCCATCCTCATGGCCAAGAAGACCCCATCGGTGAAGAAAGGTAAGTGTGAGGTGGGGGGAAGGGCCTGACCTGAGTCAGGTCCCAGCTGGGCCCCTGTGACTGTGGGATCCTGGGCTGGTGACTTCCTGTCTACAAGCTCCTCTCACCTGGGAGGCGGGTTGACAGTAGAACCTCCTTTCCCGAGTCACGTGAAGATGTGGTGGGTGACGGGGCCTGACCCGTGTCCCGGAGGTAGCGGTGGTTCTCGTTATCTGGGGACTCTGGGAAAACCTGGGTCCGTGTGTGAAAGTGAATTTTCATTGTGAATTATCACTGCAGAAGGAAAGTTTTATCTTACAGTGGAAAAAAGGAGTTTCTAGATTTGTGTAGAACAGGCCTGAGAAATGCTGATTCGCTGGGTTTCTGATTTGCATTGGCCCCTGGGAAACTGGGAGCCGCTTAGGCACCAACCTCTGTCCTTGGTGTATCTTCAAAAGTTGTTACCTTGAATCCTTGTTGGAAGGAGAATTGCAAACCAGCCACTCGCCCAGCAGCACTGGGCCAGGAAGGAGGCGGGGAAGTAGCGGGGCCCCAGGCGCTGCTGGTGACAGGGATACAGTAGCGAGTGGCATGGGCCCAGCACTCTTCTGCCAAGTGCACAGCCCGGTGCTCTGCCGTCACCCTGGCTTTGAAGGTCAGGATAGACTCCGGATGAGAGGGGAGGTGGTCTGGGGTGGGAACGACCTGTCCAAAGGCTGATTGGAAGCCTGTGTGACCCCTTCTTTCCTGTTCCTCACAGGCTACTCCAGCCGGAGGGTACAGAGCCCCAGTAGCAAGAGCAACGACACCCTGAGTGGCATCTCCTCCATTGAGCCCAGCAAGCGCTCGGGCTCCTCCCACAGCTTGGCCTCGGTGAGGACAGGGGAGGACGGGAGGGTGCCAGGGTGCCTGCCACAGCCTCAGGCTCAGTCCGCAGCTACTGAGTCAGGTTCAGTCTCTTCCCTCAGGGGGCTATGGACTGGTAGGGAGATGGGAGTAAGGATTTCATTTAGTCTTTCATTTGTTCGTTCATTCATTCATTCATTCATTCATGCATGCAGGCTATTGGAGATGGTTGTTGATCACTCACTGAGTGCCAGGCATCAGTGGGGAAAACATGGATAGGTGCAGAAGAGAAGCTGATGGCCTCTTGGGGAAGATACTTATCTATGAAAGTTCATTCATTCATTCATTAGACATTGAGTGAACATCTGCTTTGTGCCAGGGACTCTTCTTGGTGCTGAGGATACAGAAATAAATAAGACAAAGAGAGATTATTTTCACTTGGGGAATGACTTTGGCTCATTCACTCATCTAGTTATTAATTCATTCAGTCAGGACTGAGCCCAGTGCAGAACTGGGCCTGCCCTGGGGACCAAGGGGTGAGCAAGAGATAGCTCTTGTCCTGGAGGAACCCAAAGCCCGTCACGGGAGGTGGCTGCTCGTGTGGGAGAGAGGCGTGGGAGTCAGTGGGCCCTGGCTGGCCCGTAAGTGCTGGGTGCTCCCTCAGTCTTCCTTGTCTGACTGGTAGCGGAGCCCCAGAGCAGGGAAAGGGCCCAGGGCGGGTTTTGTAGGAGGCTGCTGAGTCCCGGCTTGGGTGTTGGCCTCGATATTTCCTCCCACCCCGGCAGTTTCTGTGAGGTGTCATCAGTGCTTGGAGTTGGTGGACCAGGTTGTGCTGAGGGCTTGGCCTTTGCAATCAGGGGCTGGCTCCAGGGATGGCATCTGGAGAGAGTGTGTGTGGCACATGGTCAGGCACTGGGGGCGGCCGGGGTCCTGTAGAGGGTCTGGAAAGGCCTCACCCCTTGCCCTTGGGTCTTTGCGCTGCTTGGCGCCCAGATGGTGGCGGTAAATGCATCCAGCCCCACAGCTGCGTGCTCGGGACCATGGGATGCCAGAGGGATGGAGGAGTCTGTGACTACCAGCGATGGCAATGCCGAGAGCCTCTACATGCAAGGTACAGGCCAGGAGGTGGCCTCGAGCTCCCCCGGGTGGGGCAGGACAGGGGGGAACGGCCCAGGCCAGGCCCTGCTTTGCAACCCACTTTCCCCTCCCTGCCCCCACACCCTCACTCCTGGTTTCCAGCCACTTCTGGGCAGGGGACAGTGTCCAGGAACAGATCTGATCTGAATGAAGGCCTATCAACTGACCATCTTTCAAAAAGTGATCAGGACCCGGCCCACACGGCCCTGCTCGTTCTTGTCCTTCGGGGCCCTCTTGAGTGACACTGTGCAGGGCCCGGCTGCTCTCCCTCTGCTGAGGCCTGACTCTCCCTTCTCTCTGGCCCGTGACAGGCATGGAGTTATTCGAGGAGGCTCTGCAGAAATGGGAGCAGGCGCTGAGCGTGGGGCAGAGGGGAGACAGCGGCAGCACCCCCACACCAGGGGACGGCCTCCGGAACCCTGAGACTGCTTCCGAAGTACTTTCTGAGGTAGGTGGTCCCCACCCCCTGACCATGGAGAGGTTGGTGGGCAGCCAGACTTTGGGAGGCAGCCGAGCAGCCCCGCCTCCTGCCAACCAGACACTCATCCCCTTGGATGGAGTGTTCCCCTCGATCAGGTTGTCAGTCCAACCAGTAATGTGCCAAGCACATGCCTGGCACTTGGTAATTGTGCAGTAAACCACGGTGCTGCTCACACCCTGGTCCCGGCCACGCGTTCCTGCACGACTGGTGGGAAAGAGCCTCAGTTCATAGTTGAGTGGGTCACATGGCCTTTGTCTTTGTACTTCTTGGGGGGCATTGTCTAACTTTTCTACAGGGAACCTTCATTTCAATATCAGGAAAGAGAAATACAGTGAAGAAGCTAAAATAAAATATTTTTGTGAAAAGCACACCAAATATATGTCCTAGGATGGATGTTCACTGAAGCATTATTTTGTAATAGTTGAAAAACTGGAAACGCTCTAATTCAGTAGTGTCTGCGATACTATGCAGCTGTTAAAAGGCCGAGGGATGGCTGAGCAGTGTGGCTCAGTGGTTGAGCGTTGACCTATGAATCTGGAGGTCATGGTTCGATTCCCGGTCAGGGCACATGCCCGGGTTTTGGGCTCGATCCCAGGTAGGGGACGTGCAGGAGACAGCTGATCAGTGATTCTCTGTCATCATTGATGTGTCTGTCTCGCTCTCCTTTTCCCTTCCTCTCTGAAATCAATAAAAATATATTTTAAAAAACCAAAAAGCAGCCAAAACCGGTTTGGCTCAGTGGATAGAGCATCAGCCTGCGGACTGAAAGGTCCCAGGTTCGATTCCGGTCAAGGGCATGTACCTGGGCTGTGGGCACATCCCCAGTAGGAGATGTGCAGGAGGCGGTGGATCGATGTTTCTCTCTCATCAATGTTTCTAACTCTCTCTATCTCTCTCCTTTCCTCTCTGTAAAAAATCAATAAAATATATTTAAAAAAAAAAAAAAACTAAAAAAAGGCCAAGGAAAGTTATGTGGGCTGATAGGCTGCTATCTCCACGATATATCAAGTGAAAAAAGCAAGATGTAGAATGTGTATAGAATGACCCAGGTGTGCATTTTTAAAAGCTACATCTGTGCATCTGTGTGCCTCCTGGTAGCTGCTGATACATGCGTGCAGTTTTCCTTTCCTGTGACAGGTACACAACACGGGAAATTGCTAGCAGTGATCTATGAGGAGGGTCTGCAGGGAAAGGTGGAGAGGCCTTTATTGTACTTCCCTGTACTTTTCAGTACCTTCCTTTACTGTTGGACTTTTCTCATGTTGAGCACATGCCTGTGGGCGGGGTTTGTGTACATGGTGAGGTTGTGGGCCATTTCTGTTTTATTCTTTTATTTTTTAAAATATATTTTTATTGATTTCAGAGAGAAACAGAGAGGGAGAAAGAGATAGAAACATCAATGATGAGAGAATCATTGATCGGCTGCCTCCTGCACACCCCCTGCTGGGGATCGAGCCCGCAACCTGGGCATGTGCTTTTGACCGGAATCGAACCTGGGACCTTTCAGTCCACAGGCTGACACTCTATCCACTGAGCCAAACTGGTTAGGGCTGTTTTATTCTTTACACTTTTCTGTATTAAAAACAAGGTCTTTCTGAGCTCCTGTGCTCTGCTGGAGCGAGGTCACACGGGGAGGGGCATCTCTTTGGGGAGCAGTCTGACATGTCTGTCGAGGCAGTAGGGTGTTAGCCAGGAAATAGGAGCGACTTCAGTTGTTGAAACAGGAGGCGGTTAATGCAGGGGATTGGCTGCACAGGTGAGGGAGGAGCTGCCTTGTCCCAGTGCTAGAGGGGTGTGCCCAGAGCTCAGGTGCCAAGGCCGTGTCCTGGAAGCTAGCACAGGGGCTGCCAGCAGGGGTTGCCCCCACTTGGGTAGGGTGGGCGGGGTGGTGGGAGGCAGGAGGAGGAGGGAAGAGTTTCCTTGCCTTCCTCCCCACCCCCTTCTTTCCTCCACTTGTGCCTCTGTTGGCCGGGAGTCTGGCAATCAGAGTTTGTAGCAACAGGATGGGGGCGGGACATGTCTGGCACAGCCTGTAACAACTTGGTGTCTGGGCCCTCCACCCCGGCTGCGGGCATGCTCTCAGGCCTGTCACACAGGCATGACCACCTGGTTGTGGACACAAAGGTTGGGAAATGCCTGTGGCGCAAGCAAGCCTTCAGTGCCCTAGGATGCAGGTGCTTCGGGTCACCTGCGTGTGGGCAGACCGAGGGGTGTATTAGGGCAGGGAGGCGGAGGGAGGAGCTTAATGTCCAAAATTGTACTTATTGCTAATGTTACATCGTAACATTATAGAACTTTCATTGTTCTTCTAATTGTGAAAACAATTAAATATTCCTTACAAAATAGTGAAAACTACAGAAATAGAAAAGAGTGGGAAAATAAGAACTGGGGCTCTGATCTTGGACAAAGGCCCGTGCCCTCCCTGAGTGCTGGTGCCCTCGGTGGGACACCAATGCCACCCATGTGATCCCGGCCCATAGTAGGTGCTCAATAAATGATCTTTGTCATCGCTGTTACTGATGCCCAGAACCCTTCATTCAAACAGAACCACTTGGTGTCCTTCTGGGTATTTTTCTATGTTAAACATTTTTTAACAAGTTCCTTGAAACATAATTCTTATACCATAAAATTCACCAATTTAAATTGTAGGCTTCAATGGCTTTTAGTATGTTCACAGAGTTGTATGAATATATCACACAATCACAATTTTAGAACATTTTCATCACCCCAAAAAGAAATCCCATATTCTTAGCAGTCACACCTCCCCTCCTATGCCTCTGGCCCCGCCCCCATCCCTAGGCAACCACTAATCTGCTTTCTGTCTCAGTAGATTTGCCTATTTTGGATGTTTCTTCAAATGGAATTAATCATATGTGGCCTTTTGTGACTTGCTCCTTTCACCTAACAGTGTTTTCAAGGTTCATCCTTGTGACATGGATCACTGCTTTGTTTCTGTTTACGGCTGAATCATATTCTGTGTGTGGATACTCCACATTCTGCTTATCTGTTCACCATCTGATTGACATTTGTGTTGTTTCCACTTTGTGGCCTTGATGAATGAGACTGCTGTGGGTATTTGCGTATAGTCTTTGAGTAGACCTGTCTTCTCAGTTCTCGTGGCTGAGTACCCAGGAGTGGAAGCTGGGTCCTGTGGCAACTCTAACATTTTGAGGAGCTGCCAGGCTGTTTTCCACAGCAGCTGTGCCGCTTTAGTTCCCCACCAGCAGTGGACGAGGCTCTGACTCCCCACATCCTCCACCGAGCTGTTACACCTGACTTTTCCATCCCAGCCGCCTGAGTGGGTGTGCAGTGGTGTCTCATCGTTCCTTTGGTTGTATTTCCCTGATAGTTAATGATGTTGAGCATCTTTTCTTGTGCTTATTGGCTGTTTGTATATCTTATTTGAAGAAATCTCTATTCGGATCCTTTGATTTACTTTCATATTGGTTACTTGTCTTTTTATTCATGGATTGTAAGAGTTCTTTAGATAATCTAAATACCAGCCCGTTATCAGAGATAGGATTTGCAAATATCTTCTCCCATTTGTTGGGTTGTCTTTTCACTTATTTATTTATTTAATTGATTTTAGAAGGAGGAAGGGGGGGGGAGGGGGGGCATCGATGGGAGAGAATCAACATTGATCGGCTGCCTCCTGCATGCCCCCCCACACTGGGGATCGAACCCACAACCCAGCATGTGCCCTGAGTGGGAATCAAACCAGCGACCTCCTGGTGCATGGGTCAGTGCTCAACCAATGAGCCACATCAGCTGGGCCAAAAGTTTTTAATTTTGATGAAATTCAATATCTATTTTTTCTTTTGTCATTGGTGCTTTGGTGTCATGGCTAAGAAACCGTTTCCTCACCAAGATCACTTCACAGAGACAGCTGGCAGAGCTCGGCCAAAGCTACAAGTGTCTGCAGGCCACAGGGAGCAGGGCCTTGCCCTATGGGAGGACTGAGCCAAGTGTCCGGTGGGCCTGGGGTCCCATGACCTGGGGTCAAATCCCAGCTCTTCCAGGCTCGAGGTGGTGGGCGGGGCCGCTTAACCTCCTTGAGTTTTCTCTGTGAAATGGGGTCATAATAATAGCTGCCTTGAGGGACACCAGGAAGATGAATTGTGAGGGGCCAGGTCCAGGGCAGGTGCTCAGTGAAAGGCAGCCATTTCCACCATGACTGTCCCCTCTGAGCTCTTCCGGCTCTTTCTCCCCGGTGGCCTCAGGCCCGGGGCGGCCCCTGTCTCCTCCCCGGGGTTTGGTTACGTGCAAGTGCAGGATCTGGCAGCCTCTGTGGAAACAGATTTGGGTCTGCCCGTGCCTGGCCCCTCGGACAAGATGAGCTGGGGTTAAAGGAGCAGGGCCCCCTGCTCCCCTGTGCCCTGGCCTGGAGGCTGAGGGCAGCGAGGAGGTCACTGAGGCCGCAGGCTGCTGCGTGTTGGGTCCAGGGGCTTCCCAGTCACACACAGCTCTTCTGGGCTCTGACTGCTCCCTTAGTCCAGCGATGACAACAAGCACAATAGTATTGTGACCGCTAACACTGACTGGTTGTCACGGTGGGTCAGTGCTCTGCAGGCCTTACCTCCTCGGTCACGCTTTCCCTGGGACCCTAGGAGGCAGGCGCTCTTATCTCGGTTTACAGATGGGGAAACCGAGGAGACTGAGGCTCAGAATGAGACTATTTTTGCTCCAGATCACAGTTCGGAACTGGTGGGGCCGCTGTCGGAACCCAGGTCCGCTTGGGCCTGCAGCAGCGCTGCCAGTAGGAAGCCACTTACCTTGTTTAAAAGTTGCTAGAGACCACGTTCAAAAGTAAAAGGGAAACGGATGAATGAACTTGAACAATATATTTTACATAAGCTAGTATATCCCAAATGTTACCATTTCACCGTGTGATGGACAGTCACCAAAGGCATTTATTTATTTACTTGGTACTCAGTCTTTGAAACTCAGTGTATTTATACTTGGGACTGGCCATTTCGGGGGCTCTCTGGCCACATGTGGCTCGTGGCTCTGGATTGGGCAGCTCAGGTCTGGATCTGCGCTCTCCCTGTGGGTCCCAGAGCCCGCTCCTCTCCCCAGAGGCGGGCCACCGTTGTTGGTGAGGGAAGGGGCTGTTGGCATGGGAGCGTGGAGGCCTGGGTTGACAGTCGCTGTTTTCACCGCAGCCAGAGTCACAGCGAAGGGAGTTTGCAGAGAAGCTGGAGTCCCTGCTACACCGGGCCTACCACCTGCAGGAGGAGTTTGGGTCCACCTTCCCCTCCGACAGCCTGCTCCTGGACCTGGGTGAGCTGGACCCACAGGCTGCGGTGGGGTGGGGCGGGGAGGCAGTGAGAGAACTGGGGTGCGACCCCTCAGTGCATCAGGCAAACCAGAATCCCCAGGGCCCTCAGGCTTCCTCCAATCTATTGCACAGATAGGTAAACTGAGGCTGCTGGGGGTGTAGGGGGGGGCAGAGGCGTTCCTTGATCTGGTAGGCAGGAGCAGAGCTGGGATGAGGCCCTGAGAGCCCCTGGCCCCATCCCCTGGCTATTCTAGGCCTTTGGTTTGCCTCTTTTCCTGTGGACTCTGGGTTGATGGAGGGGACAGCTCACAAGATTAGCCCAGAGCAGACCAGAGGTCCAAGAGCACAAGTCTTGCTGTTACCCTGCCCCACTGGGGCAGAGGGCCGTGACATCATGAGGGAGCGAAGTTATGCAGCCAACAGTTATGTCCAAGTGGCTGCTGGTGCCAGAGCCGTGCAGTGAACTGAGGACCCTGGGCTCTCCTGTGTGCTGTCAACCCCAGGCGGGGGGGCGAGGGGGGCGGGAACAGTGGACTCCTGAGTGTCCAGCTCCCTCCCCGCTCTATCAGGGGTGACGCAGGCCCAGCAAGGGCTGGCCAGGGAGACACGTTTCCCACACCTCTCCCTGAGCGGCTTTGCCTGTCGTGGGGTCCTGTGTCCTCGGCCTCCCATGTGGCAGAGGAGGTGGGGAGGCTTTTAGGGTGATGGGCCCCGAGAATTTGTTTCACAAGCCTTTCCTGGTGCTTTTGGAGGTCCAGACCCCCTCGGCCTTTAGGCAGGTGAGGATGGCAACACCGAGTAGGTGGCCCGTGGACTCCCTCAAGCCCTTTGCTATCTATCAGTGGCTACGTTTCAGCCTGTCAGAGGGGGAAGCGACTTCCCCTGAAGAGCTCGGGGCCACCAGGTCTCGGGGCCCAGCTGTGTGGCTGTGGGCAGGTTCCTTCAGCAGCCTCGTTCCACACCTAACTGTGCCCACCTCCACGATGTCTTAGGACGGAAGGAGGCCACTCCTTTGAGGCACTGAGCCCGGGGTCTTCACCAACAAGTGCTCAGTAAATAGGACCTCTGTGCTCGTCAGCCTCATCCGCCCAGAGTCAGGTGTTCTAGGCTCTGAAGCTGCGCATCCCGCTCTGTGCTCCCGGGAGTCTCAGCTCAGCCCTTCCTTCCTGCTCTCCCCAGAGCGGACCCTCATGCTGCCCCTGTCCGAGGGCTCGCTGCTTCTGCGGGCGGACGATGAGGACAGCCTGATCTCGGACGATTCCTTCTTCTCTGCTACCGAGGTGAGCGGGGAGGTGGGTGGACACAGAGGATGGGTAGAGGGAGGCCTGTGCGACCCTGGGTGAGCACGGTCATGGGAAAGTACAGCCATTTCCTTCTCCGGGACAGCATTTGGCAGTCACCACGGCTGCTCCCCGGGGACTCGTGCAGTGGCTGGGGATGGGGAGGCCCGAGAAGCCAGGGGTTCCAAGTCCTAGGGGTGAGGGCAGGGTCTCTGCCCACTGGCTCCAGCCCACGCTGACCTCTCCTTTCTCTATGCCGCATGCCCATTGCTTGGCATTAGTCTGCTGCCATGGCCGTGTCAGGCCAGCTGTCCTGGCCTGGGTGGAGGACATGGGCTCAGGCCCAGTGTACGGTCCCTTGGGGAAGAACCCCTGGAGATGGGGACACTGAGGGCCAGAGCTGGGCTTGAACCCAGGCTTCTGCCTCCTTCTGACATCTCCTCTGAGAGGTCGCCCCTAGGGAGTCCCCTGGGCATGGGCCCTCACCCTCTGGGCCGCTGTTGACACAGGCTGTGACGTGACGGTCCTCTTCCTCTGCACCCTCCCCAGCTCTTTGAGTCCCTGCAGGTCGAAGATTACCTGATCCCACTCTCCAGGCCCGCTGCCGCCTACGAGGAGGCGCTACAGCTGGTGAAGGAGGGGAAGGTGCTCTGCCGGACCCTCAGGTGAGCATGGGGGGCGGGAGGCCAGGAGCAGGGGGCGGTGGGCAGGCCCTGTCCCCCTTGGAGGAGGCCCGAGAAGCCAGCGGTCTTCGGTGAGGACTCAGCTGGGCCAGGCTCACTGAGGGCCACGATGGGCTGGCAACGGCTCCTGCCCGGTCAAGGAGGGCCTAGGATGGTCCCAAGTACCGTGCTTGACCTAAGTTCTTGGAGGGGTCCAGCCACAGAAACACGGGCCTGATCCTCAGCCCTGTGTCCCTTTTTGTGGGACTGTAGGGATCTCACTCATTTTACATGAGTTTTTCTCAGAACTTGGCTTTGGTCGTGACTCCACATTTAAGTTATGTTTCAAGTTCACTGACAGAAATGGTTGAAAGCTGGAGTTGGAGTCCTGGTGATTGGGATAAAGGGCAGGCGGACCCAGGTGGGCAGCAGCCCCTGCCTGTGGTCCTGCCACCTGGGAGCAGTTGGCCATTTCTGTCCTTTGCTAATTAGGCCTAAAGGAGGCCACGGTCAGCCCGACCCCCAGTGACCAGACCTGCCAGGGTTATTGAGGCTGACGTCCTCAGAGAGCATCCAGTCAGCCTCTTCCTTTGGTTTGGGGAGACTGAGGCCAAGAGGGGGGCAGACACCTGCCCAAGGTCACACTGTCAAGCCAAAGCAGGGCCACCTAGAGCTCCACTCAGAACCACACCGAGGCCCAGGTTGCCTAGATGGGGCCCAGGTTGCCTGACTGCTTGTGCTTCCCCTCAGGACAGAGCTGCTGGGCTGCTACAGTGACCATGACTTTCTGGCCAAGCTGCATTGTGTGCGGCAGGCGTTTGAGGTAGGTTGTGACGCAGGCACCTGCGGAGGTGCTGTCGGGACGGGGCAGTCAGGCAGGCCTCCTGCTGGGCCTGCTCTCACACGGGCCCCTCTGTGTGCCTGGGTCACTTGCTTAACACAGTTACTGCCCTCCTCATGGCTGCGGGGGACCACCAGCTGGGCAGCTCACCCCGCCCCTTCCTCAGGGCCTCCTGGAGGACCAGAATCACCAGCTCTTCTTCGGGGAGGTTGGCCGGCAGATGGTGACAGGCCTGATGACCAAGGCTGAGAAGGTACTGGGGGGGCTTCCTTTCAGGTTTTCTTCCCCACTCACCTTGTTTTTTTCTGTTTTTTAAATTTATTTATTTATTTTAACTATGACACTTATTTTTAATTGATTTCAGAGAGGGATAGAGATAGAAACATCAGTGATGAGAGAACCATTGATCAGCTGCCTCCTGATCGCTCCACATCCTGCCTGTAGGTTGCCTTGTTCTCTCATTACTCAGTGAGCTCCAACCCCACCCAGTTCACATCTTAGCGAACGTTGGTCCAGTGCCTCCTCTGCACATGGCTCTGTATAAATGGCATCAACCTGTCCGTGCTGTTCTGTGTCAGCTCCATCCTGCCTGGCTCTTGGGCATGTCATTGATCTCACAAAACCTCAGTATTCTTAACTGTGAAGTGGGAATAATACCAGAATGTCCCTCATAGAACCATAGGAATTAGATGAGTTGGTCTATATTAGATCAGTACCTGGCACATACCCGCTTTCCGTGTCCGTATGCGCATCCACACCTGGTAGTCCCGGCGAGTGAAGCATCTGTCCTGAGTGCTGGCGGCCTTGGTGAGTGCTGGCAGCCTTGGTGCCGGCGGCAGCGGTCTTACACACTATTACTGCTGAGGCCCAGGCACCCCCCAGAAAAGGCCCATGAGTTGGTGCTGTAGCTTCTCCCATTTCACCAGTGAGGCTCAAGGTCAGAGAGATTTGGATCTTTGGCTGCCTGACTCAACCTCATGACCTCACCCATCCTTCCAAAGTGAGCTGCTGCTGCGGCATGCGGCATCTCCTGGGCGGCCGTGGGTGCTCAGGAATGCGCTGGTCTGAGACGTTGCTGGGCGCTGGTGTTGGGTCTGTCTTGCAAACGCCCTGTTCTCTGCAGAGGCACATCGAGGTGGGCAGGGGGCCCTTCTTGCCTCCTTTTCTCGGCCCTGGCCCTGCCTTGGCATGTCCCCATCTATGGCCAGCCTGTCCCTGGGGATCTCCTCCAGCTGGATGACCCGAACAGACTGTGCTTCTCCCCAGAGCCCCAAAGGCTTCCTGGAGAGCTACGAGGAGATGCTGAACTATGCTCTGCGGCCGGAGACCTGGGCTACCACACGGCTGGAGCTGGAGGGCCGTGGGGTGAGTTTATTTGTGCTAAGTACCTGAGACCCTGAGCAGGGAGGGGGTACCTGTGCCGAGCTCCGCCTTGATTCCGAGGGTCTGAGATGGCTCCATCAGTGCTACAAGCCCCAGTGTCTGCTCTGTCCTAGGCCAGGCCGTGAGAGGGATGAGAGGGATGGCCCCAGCTGCACCCCATTGTAGAGCAGGGAGGGGTCTGCTCACCCATGAGGCCCACACCTGCCCTTGCCCCATCTGGACCTGCCCCCCGCAGGTGGTGTGCATGAGCTTCTATGACATCGTGCTGGACTTCATCCTCATGGACGCCTTTGAGGACCTGGAGAACCCCCCGTCCTCCGTGCTCGCCGTCCTGAGGAACCGCTGGCTGTCCGACAGCTTCAAGGAGACGGTGGGTGGCTGCCCGCACTCCCAGCACACACTCGCATGACCCTACACGATGGCCTGGACCCCGATTCCCTCCATCCCTGGCTTTGGGCACCAAGGCTGGGCTCCCCACCCATCAGACAGCCGTCACCCCCCTGGGCAGGCTCCCCTCCCCTCTGCCCTGAAGAAGCTTCCCAGGGACCCACTGCTGTCCTGGCAACACTGCAAAACTAGCGTCCTGCACCTTTTCCTCGCGCTGTGCCTTCACTTCAGTCTGCTCATTCTGTGCTGGCGCTCATGCTCTCGATTCTAATGCATTCTGTTCAATCAAGTTAAATGGGGAAAGGAGAGGAGCTAACTGCAGGAGAGCACTGGGCTTAGGGCCCCGCAGGGCCACTCAGGAAGCCGTGACGGTGGCAGGGGATGGAGAGGGCTGGGTGGTCTTCACAGGCGGTCCCACACCACTCCATGGGTCCCACACCACTGAATGAGATGGGGTGCTGGCTTATGGCCATGCTGCAGATCAGGAAACCCAGGGCCCCACAGGGCTAAGCGTTAGGGGCACGATCAGACTTAGGTGTATCTGATTTCTAATTGAGGGAAGGAAACAGCAGAGCTCAGGCACCAGGCCCTGTCTTCCTGCATGGGGGTCTGGGCTGGGGGATGGGCAGGGGCTGCCCCCTGGCCTGTTACTCTGCTCCCATTGTCCTGTCTCTGGTTTAGGCCCTGGCCACTGCTTGCTGGTCAGTCCTCAAAGCCAAGAGGAGGCTGCTGATGGTGAGTGACCTGAGGGGGCCCCTGGCGAGTGCTGCGGGGGGCTCTGGGTGTGGCGCTCAGCTGACCCTCCCATTGGGGTGTGCTGGCCCCTGGTGGTGGCAGGACAGGGTAGGGCAGTGATGGCGAACCTTTTGAGCTCGGCGTGTCAGCATTTTGAAAAACCGTAACTTAACTCTGGTGCCGTGTCACATATAGAAATTTTTTAAAAATATATTTTATTGATTTTACAGAGAGGAAGGGAGAGGGATAGAGAGTTAGAAACATCGATGGGAGAGAAATATCGATCAGCTGCCTCCTGCACACCTCCCACTGGGGATGTGCCCGCAACCAAGGTACATGCCCTTGACCGGAATCGAACCTGGGACCTTTCAGTCCGCAGGCCGACGCTCTATCCACTGAGCCAAACCAGTTAGGGCTAGAAATTTTTTGATATTTGCAACCATAGTATAACAAAGATTTTTATATGTATATATATATATATATATGTGTGTGTATATATATATTTTAATATATTGATTTTTTACAGAGGAAGGGAGAGTTAGAAACATCGATCAGCTGCCTCCTGCACACCCCAAACTGGGGATGTGCCCGCAACCAAGGTACATGCCCTTGACCGGAATCGAACCTGGGACCTTTCAGACCACAGGCCGACGCTCTATCCACTGAGCCAAACCAGTTAGGGCAAGATTTATATTTTTTATATTTATTTTATATATTTAAATGCCATTTAACAAAGAAAAATCAACCAAAAAAATGAGTTCGCGTGTCACCTCTGACACGCGTGTCATAGGTTCGCCCTCACTGGGGTAGGGTGTGAGAAGAATGGGGCTGGTGCAGGGAGGCTTCGCCGAGCCCCCAGGCCTGGCTGCACCTTTTGGCCTCTGTCATAGCACTGGCCACCTGTCCTACTAGCACCTCTCCCTTGACCAGGAGCACCTTCATCTCACCCTGCAGGGCCCGGCAGAATAGGGCATCGGGAAATGCTGAAGGCATCAGAAGAGGGGAGGGGGCACCCTTGGGGGAGGAAGGGCACAGGCAAGGCGTGGCAGCTGGCTCAGAGGAGGCGCCTGGGTGGGGGCAGGATGCCCCAAGGGCAGGCAGAGCGGCCACTCCGCCATTGGGCCGCTGTTATCTGCACTCCCAGGCGGCGGCTGGCTGCACTATCGGGGCTGCAATCCATTGTTCCTCTTCGCCAGCCAGGCTCTGCTGCCCGGCTGATACCAGCTGCTGCCAGTACAGACTCTGGGCACTTCTTGTGCTGACCGCAGGCCCCTCCTTATGCAGCCCTCACAGCAGCCCCGAGGTCACCCCCATTCTGCACAGGTGAAAACAGGGCCTTCCTTAGTCACTTGCCCAGGGTCACCCAGCAAGGATGTGAACAGCCAGGCCTCCCTCTAAGACCCAGATCTCAAGATGACGCCAGGGTCCCAGGCTCAACCTTGCTCCCCCCACAGGTGCCTGACGGCTTCATCTCTCATTTCTACTCCGTATCGGAGCATGTTAGCCCCGTCTTGGCCTTTGGCTTCCTTGGACCCAAGCCCCAGCTCGCCGAAGTCTGTGCTTTCTTCAAGGTGAGCAGAGTGCTGAGGCCACTGCTCCCGCCTGGGCCTGCCTGTCCTGGCCCCTGGGATTGGAGGCCTGGAGGGTTCCAGGAGTACAGAGAGGGCTGGGCCTGCTCCTCAAGAAAGCCAGTGGGTGCCCGGAGAGCATGCTGCCCCTTCCACTGGGAGCCCGGCCCAGCGGGTCTGAGGAAGCCCTGGGACCAGAACCCGAGGACACGAGACTCGGTCGGGGTCCCAGAGGTCAAGGGGAGGGCTTTGGGGGGCCTGGAGGCCATCAGGGGTGGGCAGGGGCTTGGGCCCAGGTCTCATGACAGCCCTGTGCCCCAGCACCAGATCGTGCAGTACCTGAGGGACATGTTTGACCTGGACAACGTGCGCTACACCTCGGTGCCGGCGCTGGCGGATGACATCTTGCAGCTGTCCCGGCGCCGCAGCGAGATCCTGCTCGGCTACCTGGGGGCACCGGTGGCCAGCAGTGTTGGCCTGAACGGCGTGCTGCCCCGAGAGAACGGTCCCCCGGAGGAGCTGTAGCCATGGCGGGCGCAGGCTGGGGAGGGGTGGCTGCTGGGCCTCGTCCACGTGGGTGATGGCAGAGACAAGGTGCCTCCTCCCTCCTTTGGGTTGACAAGCAAGGGCCGGGCATCTGTGCCATCAGCAGCTCAGAGCCCAGGCCGTGGTAGCCAAGGGCGGTTGCCCCTGACCTTGCCCCACCCCCAATCATCTGGGAATCCCCAAGGCCTGGGGGTAAACTTCCATGGAGAGGGAGGGAGCCCCTTGGGGCCCGTCTGACTGCCCTCAGCGGTCCCTGGGGAAGCGGAGGCTGGACCAGTGGCCAGTGGGGCCTGAGGGAGAAGAAGGTAGTGAGAGAGAGAGAGGAAGGTGTTGTGAAGAGAATTGGGGCAGGCAGAGCTGGGGTGCCCTGGGTGTGAGACCCCAAAAGCTCCCACCACCCTAGGCTGCTGACGAGGGGCTGGGAGGGTGGAGGTGAAAGGTGGGGATGGCAGGGCTCTGGGTGAAGGTCATCTATGTCCTGAGCTGGAAGGAACCTGGGCTGAGAGGTCTCAGAATCCAGGCCCACGGCTGGCCAGTCCCGACGACCCCCACCACCCGAGAGAGCTGCAACTCAGAGAGTGAGGGTGGGGCCTCCGAGGGGCTGTGAGCACCATGGTGGCAGCAGGCGTGGCCGGCAGGAGGGGGGACGCAGGAGGGACTCTCCTTGTGCTCACATCTGGGTAGGGACTGGGCACTCGACAGACCCAAGCACCACACAGGACATTGTCCTCTGACATCCCCTCCCTGCCAGAGCCGGTCACCTCCTCCCGCTTCTGCCACCACCAGACAGGCGGGCTGGTCCTGCCGCCCACCCCCCTCCCTCTGTGAGCCCGGAACTCTCCGGGTGGTGCTAGGTGCTGAGCTGGAGGCTCGGACGGGAGTCCTCTCAGGCCTATCACCTGTGCTGCCATCGCTGGTGGCCCCAGGAGTGAGGGGCCCAGGGACCACACTGGGGGAGGTCAGGAGGTGGACGGCTGGCCCAGCCCCCAGCCCTCACTAGGACAAGAAACCGCCCGGCACTTGGATGCACACGTGCTCTGGCGTCCGCGCAGGGCCCGCCTCCCCGCTGGTCCTGCCGATGGAGATGGAGGCAGTCGCACTTGTCCCACGCCATTTGTCCCCGTCGCAGGGTCTCTGTCAGCCCTGCAGACTCACTTCTCTTAGGGTGTTTCACCTGAGCTGGGGCGTTTTATTTATTGCCTTAACACTTTATTTTGAGGTTCTACCCCGTCCAGGTTGGGAGGCCTGTGAGAGAAATAGGCTTCTCCCAGTTCTCCATTCCCTGGATTTGGGGACTGGCTCCTCAGGCCAGGTCCCTCTCCCTGAATGGCAAAGGGGCCCCAGGGGTGGGGTGATCTTGCCCATTTGGGTGGGGAGAGAGGAGAGATGGGCAAGGGAGATATGAGCCTACTTTCCTCCTGGAATCCCGTCCCTCTGCAACCCCCTCCCCACCTTCCCATGCTTCCCGGACTGGAGGAGGGCTGTGCACTAACTGGGTTCCGGCTCCAAACCCACCTGCAGCCTCCTGGGAGGGAAGGACTGGGGTGGCCTCCTCCACCCCAACATTCCGTTCATTTACTTACCCTGCGCTGTGAATGTAATCTCGGGCCTGGCCCCGCCTACTGATTTACTCCTGAATCACACACAAGTGGCATTTTCATTTTGTCTGTTTACACACCCATGCGCTGCCCCGGCACCTGATCTGTTGCAGCTTCTAACTTCCGTGTGGTAGAGCTCTGTGCACTGACTTCGAGTCAAATAAATGATCTAAAGGATTTCCCTCCAAGTTGCCATGCTGCTGGGTACATATGTGTGGCCAGCTACTTCTCGGACCACAGCTGGGGACCCCCTCTTTGGGGTGCAGTTAGTGGAGGTTTCAGGAGGGCAAGGGTCAAGGACAGCCTGGTAGGGGCTGTGAGTCCACTTAGCCTGGCAGGGTCCACATGGCCCTAGGCAGGGAGGCCCCTGAGCGGGGGAGTGGCCAGTGAAATGCTTGGGGGCACAGGTGTGGGTGGGCGGCCTGGGTGTGGATCAGCTCAGGCAGCATCTAGGTGAGGCTTCTGTCCGAGCCTCTGTCCACATCTGCAAGATGCAGGTGTTGGACGAGGCCAGCAGTGTAGGGTCAGGCTCAGTCACAGCCTGCGCTGGTGAGAGCCGGGATGAGGGGCTGGGACAGGTGGGAGCAGAGCAGATCTGGGCCTGCTAGATATTCAGGTGTTTTCATGGGCAGTTGGGCACTGCAAGGTTTATGTGAAGGGTATTTTAAAAACAAAATAGCTTCACTTTGAAAAGTTTCAGGTGTACCAAAGAGTTAAAAAGAAATGCATATAAAGACTACCCATAAAACCAACCCTCAAGTCAGTAATTAACATCTTGCCATTTCTTTAAAAAAATTTTTTTTAATATATTTTATTGATTTTTTTACAGAGAGGAAGGGAGAGGGATAGAGAGTTAGAAACATCGATGAGAGAGAAACATGGATCAGCTGCCTCCTGCACACCCCCTACTGGGGATGTGCCCACAACCAAGGTACATGCCCCTGGCCGGAATCGAACCTGGGACCCTTCAGTCCGCAGGCCAACGCTCTATTCACTGAGCCAAACTAGTCAGGGCTAAAAAAATTTTTAGAGTAAGTTCTAGACATGTACTTCATCCCTAAACACCTGAACAAGCAGGTCTTAAAAATAAGGCAGTTCTCTGGCATGACCAAGATACCATAATCACACCTGGAAAGTGTATCACTGATTCTCTAGTATCTGCTGGGATTCTGAAAAATTTTTTTTCCGGCAAAGAAAAATGCCTGACTCCCCTTTGCGGATTTTAGAGACGCGAGCCAATCTGGTCACCGAGACTAGCAAGTTGTTTTGTTGGATTGAAACAGCTTTATTGAGGTATAACGTGTGCCATAAAATTCATTTGCTTTAATGATTTTTAGTAAATGTACAGAGTGCAGCTGTTACCACAGTATATTTTTAGAACCTTTCCATCGCCACAAAAAGACCCCTTGTGTCCTTTTGCAGTAAACCCCCCAGCCCCCAGGCCGCCACCAATCTATTGTTTTCTCTCTTGATTTGCCTTTTCTGGACATTTCTGTAAATGAATCCTACAGTCTGTGATCTTTTGTGCTTGGTTTCTAATGATGTTTCTGAGATTTGTCCATTTTATGGCAGGTACCAGTAATTTATTTCTGTTGCTGACTAGTTTCCAACAATAAGTTTTTCTGTTTTTTGAATACCACTGTGGACTCATGGGTTTTTATTTGATATGTACAGTTACAAGCATTCTTCTGATGCTCAATTGGCCAGTGAGAGCCCCTTTGAGCTGGTTCCTGGGTCCTTTAGATGCACGCACACCCCTCCTCGTCCCCATCAGTCTTCGAGCACTTCATTTCTACATGACATGATGTCCCCAGAAGCCAGAACCCGAGAGACCAGAGCTGGGAGAGCCCTGCGGGAACCCTGGCCCCCTCCTGTGGCGGACAGTGGATTGCCTGGGAATTCAGATACAGAAGTTCCTGAGTGAATAAATGAACCTCTAACTTAGAGGGCAGCAGCTGACACGTTTTGGGGAAATAGGCCCAGAGAGCGAAAGAGTTTGCACATAAACCAGTGTTAGACTTTGGGCCTCTAATTTCAGGGCTACCCTCTCCGAACTCCCTGCCAGGGGAGAGGCCAGAGTGAAAGGCCAGCCAAACCTGGGATAACTGGGCACTCTGGAAAAGCCTAGGTCTCGGGGCTTGTAGAGGGTCCCGAGGGCAGTGGGAGGAGACAGCAGTTTGGCTCATGGGATGTAGGATGGTTCAGAACCTGGGACTACCCATCAGGCAGACCTGGGTTCAAATCCTGCCTCTGCCATGTTCGAGCCAGGTGACCTGGCAAGTGGTGGGACACTCTGAGCTTTACTGTCCGCAGCTATAAAGTGGGATCATTAAGAGCTGCCTTGCAGGCTGTTGGGAGGATAACACAGTGACTAAGGCTGGAACACTCCCAGGATGCTCAGCAATACCAGGGGCATCACTAACCCAACTCTCAGCTCAGGGAGGAGGCAGATGACTTGCAGCCTCCCATGGGTCTCCCTGTAGCCCTCACACCTGCACTAGCCCTTTGTCCACACGCTGGGTCTGACCCATCATCTGCCCTCTCCTGGGACCCTATAGTGGCTCCTGGGCACATCTCCACCAGACATGCATCCATAAGTGCAGCAGAGGGATGCACAAGGATGTTCCTAGCAATGCTGTTTGCAACACAATAAAGAGAAAAAGTTTTTAGAGAGTCGAATGGAAAATAAACAGCGGTATGTTCGCACTATGGAATACCATATGGCAATGAGAGTGAACAAATGACAACTAGAGGCCACAGCATGGATAAATCTCACAAACAATGCTAGTGAAAGAAACCACACACAGAAAGTACATATGGGTGGGGCAAAAGTAGTTTGTCTGGCAAATAATCTCTATAAAAGCCTAAGGGACCGGCCAACCGGCTGGTAGCTATGATGCGCACTGACCACCAGGGGGCAGACGCTCAATGCAGGAGCGGAAACCACAGGCATGGAAACATGGAACAGACTGATGAATCTCAGAGAGAAGCGGGGAGGGTGGGAAGAGATTAACCAAAGATCTTACATGCATACTAGAGGCCTGGTGCATAGATTTGTGCACCGGTGAGGTTCCTTGGCCTGGCCTGTGGGGATTGAGCCAAAACCGGCAGTCTGACATCCTGCGAGGGGTCCCGGATTGCGAGAGGGCTCAGGCCAGGTGAGGGACCCCATGGATTCGTGCCCTGGGCCTCTAGTACAATAAATAATAATACAAGTGTAAACCTACTTTTGCCCCACCCTGTACTGTAGGATGCTGTTTATAGAAAGTACAAACTCAGACCAACCTAATGTATAGTGTTAGATGTAGGGATAGTGGTCACCCTGGGGTGAATAGCTGGGTGTCAGGGGCTCCTGGGGCCCTGGTTCTTGATCTAGGGGCTGCTTATACAGGTGTGTTTTGTTTGTGAAATTTCATCACATTCCATTTCAGGAATTTCCTGTATGAATGTTATATTTTAATTTTTTTTAAAAACCACAACCGCCAAACCGGTTTGGCTCAGTGGATAGAGCGTCGGCCTGCGGACTGAAGGGTCCCGGGTTCGATTCCGGTCAGGGGCATGTACCTTGGTTGCGGGCACATCCCCAGTGGGAGGTGTGCAGGAGGCAGCTGGTCGATGTTTCTCTCTCATCGATGTTTCTGACTCTCTGTCCCTCTCCCTTCCTCTCTGTAAAAAATCAATAAAATATATTAAAAAAAAAAAACCACAACCAGCCCAGCCGGTGTGGCTCAGTGGCTGTCAACTTATGAACCAGGAGGTCACAGTTCGATTCCTGATCAGGGCACATGCCCAGGTTGTGGGCTCGATCCCCAGTGTGGGGTGTGCAGGAGGCAGCCCATCAATGATTCTCTCTAATTATTGATGTTTCTCTCTCTCTCTCTCCCCTTTTCCCTTCCTCTCTGAAATCAATAAAATATTTAAAAAAGCACAACCAAACCAAACAACACTCCCATCCTTCCCAGCTTCCGTCTGTCCTCACCACTAATAGTGGCCCTCAAAATTTTGGGGGCCCAGCCCCTCTGAACCCCCCTTCTCCCTAGCACCTCCCCCCTCACGCTCTCTTGCCCATTTCATTCAGCCACACTCCTGCCTCAGGATCCTTGTTTATGCTGGTCCCTCTGCCAGGAAGACCCCACACTGGATAACTCTCTTTCCATAGTTCTTCTTGGAATGCTCCCCCTGAGGCAAGAGGGCTATGAAATCAGCCCTGGATTTCAGGGGCTCTGCCTCTCTAGGCCTATTTGCTCATCAGTGAAATGGCCACTGGCCAAGGAAGGGCAATGCAGCCAGACCTGGGAGGGCTGCCCTGTCTCAGGGGACTATTCTGGGAAACTCACACCTCCTGCTTCTCAGAAGCTAATAATGGCAGTGGCGGAGGTAGCTGACGGTAGGTGACAGGGAAACGGGGCCAGCTGACCCAGACAAGCCCAGGCTGAGCCTGGTGGGGAGCTGAGCACAGTTGAGGGGGGCCAGGGGAGCCCGAGTCAGCATTGTCCCCCAGCCCTCTCAGCTGAGCCACAGTCCTGGCTTCAGCTGTCCTGCAGTCTTGCAGAGCTAGCCATGCCTGGTTTATTTTCACTTCTCACAAGCATTTGTGTCATTTATCAGGCTGTTGTTCTAGGTCTGGCCTGGGCCATCTTCATGACACCCGGGGCTTCTGCAGGCATGGCTGAAATCCCTTGTATTAGAACCCCAGGCACATAAGAATGCAGACTGTAACCCAGACCCTAGTGGGACCCAGGAATCTGCATTTTCCATAAACCGATACTGGTGCCCATGAAGTCAGAGAACCATTGCTTACTGGGAGAGACAGACAAGGAACCGATTCCAGTCCGGTGTGGTCAGTGCCGCGGCAGGAGAGGGGCTCAGGGGAGGCCGCTCACATGGCCACAGAAACCCCCAAGTGAGAACTGACACTTGAGCGAGACTTGGCAAGGCGAAGTGGAGCGAGAGGGGCGATGCCTTCCAGGCAGCGCAACAGCATGTGCAAAGGCCAGGAGACAAGGGTGGGCCAGGCTAGCCCGAGAGGGGGTAGGAGAGGGAAGGGTGGGTGGAAGCTGTGGCTGTTTATGCAGGGCCTTGTGGCTACTGAGAGGAATGTTATGGGGAAACTGAGGTGTAGATGGAAATCGGCTTCTGGTTTAAATGCTCTCAAGATTCCAGCATCAATGTGACTGAATCAATAAATCTTTGTTGCCGAAACCGGTTTGGCTCAGTGGATAGAGCGACGGCCTGTGGACTGAAAGGTCCCTGGTTCGATTCCGGTCAAGGGCATGTACTTGGGTTGCGGGCACATCCCCAGTAGGGGGTGTGCAGGAGGCAGCTGATGGATGTTTCTCTCTCATCGATGTTTCTAACTCTCTATCTCTCTCCCTTCCTCTCTGTAAAAAATCAATAAAATACATTTAAAAAAAATAAATCTTTGTTAATTGAAGAAAGAAGGAAGGAACCTTTCTTAACTTCAATTAAGCTTCCACTCCTAGTATCACTCAAGAAAAGAGTTAAGTGCCCTCTGGGTCTTGGGTTTCAGTTTACTCCTAACTAAAAGGCGATGGACGCAGACCCCCGCCCCGCCCCGCCCCCGCCGCTTCCAGCACGTGCTCTGACCGACGCCCAAGCCCCTTCGGCTCCGGGCGGGCTCGGGTTACCTGGGGAGCCTTCACGGCGCAGGTCCTGGCCAAACCAAAGCTCCCACCAAAGTTCAACACGCCTCCCAAACTAAGGCCTGATTGGTCCGTCCTGCCCACACTGGGGAGCCGGCTTCACCTTCTGATTGGCTATTCTGCTCTCTGTTCTGTGCTGGAACCCGCCTCTTCCCTGATTGGCCAGAAACCTACCTGCGCTCGTCCCGGATTGGCCGCTGGCTTGGTCGGCTCACAAGCTCCTAGGGGCCCCGCTCTCTGATTCGCCGCTGGGACCAGCCCTACGGCCTGCACGCTGAATGGCTGCGCCGCTACCTGTATCGGCTTCCGATTGGATGCGAGGCGCCTCCCTGGCGTGATAGGTCAGGACCACCGCCCCCCTGGCAGCCCATTGGCTGCTCGGCGAAGCCCGGTCTCCGGGTAAGATGGCAGCGGACGGACAGTGCTCGCTCCCTGCTTCATGGCGGCCGGTCACCCTCACCCACGTCGAATATCCTGCAGGTAAAAGGCGGCCCCGGCTCTAAGGACGCCTTCCCGGGGCCGGCCCCTCCGCCCCGGGCGCTGCGGCTCGCGCGAGCCCGCGGAGGGGGCGCCGGGATACCGGGGTGGGAACTGTCAAATAGGGAGCCATGGAGGGGCTCGGCCGGCGTGCGCCGCGCACGCGCGGTGGTGCGGCGATGAGCTGGGCGAAATTGTGAGGCTCGCTGGTGCGCTCTGCGGCTGCGCGGCGGGGGTGCTCCCTCGGGTTCCGGGGCGCGGGTGGGCTGTAATGGGGAGGGGGGCTGTGTGAGGCGGCGAAGGGTCACTGGCCTGGACCTGGGCCCTTCTTCCCCGCCTTCCCCGGAGCCAGGGAGGCCGGACTCCCTCTCCGGCGTGCAGGGAGTGCCTGCTTCCTTGTGCATTTGGGTCGCCTGCGAGAGCAAGAGCTCCCGGTCGCTGGGAGGGTGCCGCCGAGGCCAGGCAGCTGCCCGTGGTTGGAGTGCCTCTGGTGTGCCAC